CCAGCCTCATAACTAGACATTGAAGGTGATCTAGCAGTGATGAGTCATCATTCTGCTCTCTCCTTCTATCAGAAAGTTCCCTGTAGTCATTTGTGCAATGCAGCAAAGTCTGACAGGCCCTCCCTCTTCCAATATGAGTTGTATGGGCGATTTCCAGGAAACCAGCAACCACACAGATTTAGGTACTTCATCTAACGTCACTTCCCAGTATAATTAACATTTTTCTAATGAACATCTAATCCGCATTCATCTAAACCGGGAGGACAGCTTTAAGCTTTAAAATGGAGTTCAGCAGCAAACTGTGATGATTTGTTACAAGTATGACAGTAGTACTAATGTTGAGTAAGTCATTCACTGTGGTCATTTTTGAAACCGCATCTATCCGGAGATCTATCAGAGACATCCTGGAGATTGATTCTGCTATTAATATCAGCATGGGATATGGTAATAGATGACAAGTAGCCAGCTCTCTAGCAGAGTGACTAGACCATAAAACAAAAGCTTTTCAATGACACTGATGCTTTCTGCATAAATGCCACCAGCATAATGTAAAGCAGCCTGCATACAAAGGGATCACATGAATGATGATCTTTGACGAGACACTGGTGCAGAACAAATGGTACTCCCACAGAACAATCTGAATATTTCCAATGTGACATACTAAGTATGTGCAGAAGAAAGACGCTGACATATTTAAATCATTTTAATAGGCCTTTATCTGCATAAACAATATAGAATACCAGTGTGACTGCAAGCAAATGCAGAAGCAAAAAATGGCAATGTGTTTGGTGTCTGTGTACAAAAACCTAAAAGGAAATCGATGCATTGTTTGAGTGGGAACAAAAGTCTTTTTTAACTTAAAACAGATTAAGCTGAACTCCAGGCAAACAGGTAAATACACAAATGAGGTATAAGGGAGCTGACCTGCAATATGGATTTGTATTTCGGTTTATTCATTAAGGAGATTCACTCAGCTCTGCCACACACCACCACCAGCCTGGTGACCTGACGTTTCCCTACTGCAATTAAGTAGCACAACTAGGTCTTGTCCCAGCCCAAGTCTGTGATCGCATAGTGAAAGACCAACTGTCACTGTACAGGGAGTTGCAAGCGGCAGAAGCCAAGTCAAGTTCGGGTACTTGCACTAGTTGCAGTTAAAAATACATTTTAATTGAATTAAAGAAGAACTTCGGACACTGTAAACAACCTGCTTCCCTATTTATAATGGTCTGGTCCTTTAGCAAATTAAGCGCAAAATTATAGCTAATTTGCCTACAAATTAATAATCCTAATGGCCTAATCTGGCCACTCAGTGTATATATACACATATATATACACATTCTATAAACAGTGTATAGACGTGAGGATGCGGAGGAACGTTCCAAAGCTGCAGTGTAGGAGAGGGAGGCTTTAGTAACCAGAGAAGCAGGGTGCCAGCTCAGTGGTTCAGGTGAGTATAATTTATTTATTTTTAGCACTTAGACAAAAAACAGCAGTTAACCCTTGCAGTGCAGGGGTAGCCCCACTGCAAGGGTTAAGAAACAAAATGGTCTGGAGTTCTACTTTGATTAATACATAGTTGCATTAATTGTGTATTTTGTATCCAAGTTCAGGTCAATAGATAGTAAAAATTAGGAAAACTACCAAGTGCAGCTTTTTAAACTCACCAAGTTATCAGAGTCTATATGCACTAAGGGAGAATACTAAAGTATAGATTCTGACCATTTCTTTCCAAATCAAGATCCAATGTCAATACAGTATTTTATATGCACTATGTATAGTTGAAGAGCACAAGCATTTCATAAAAAGGTCAGAAAAGGAAGCCATGTACCTTTAGTACTCACATTTGGGGAAGGATCTGGCACATAGCGTTTTTCTTTCAAGCCGACTTCCTTTAACTTGGATGGTATGTGACTTCCTTCAACAAAGGCAATGTAGTCCATATAATTGCTGCACGGCCCGGCAAGGACGCTCATAAAATTCAGGTGGTAGCTGAGGTACTCCAAAAGTGTTGGTCTCTTCCTAAAGAAAATACAAAAATGGATTCTAGGTATATGCATGTGGTCTAAATTACTATAGCTATCCTGTCCAATTTTGGGTGCTGCTAAATTTACAAACTGTACACCTGTACTTCATGCAAAACCAGAATATTTATCTGGTTTAATGCAATAAACAAGTGCAAACCTTATTCTATATACCAGTGGTGGCGAACCTTGGCAATCCAGCTGTGCCAAAACTACAAATCCCAAGATGCATCTGCCTCTGGGAGTTATGTCTGTGGCTGTCAGAGCCTTGCAATGCCTCATGGGACTTGTAGTTCCAAAACAGCTGGAGTGCCAAGGTTCGCCATCACTGCTATATAGGGACCCAACACAGTCCATCCTGTATCGGTCAGCTTAAGGCCCCATTCACACTGAGCGACATAAAAATCGCGCGATTTTGAGCGATATTGGGCGACAAGCGATATTGAGCGACATCACGCGACTTTTTCCTATTGGGCTGTATGCAATCAGGAGCAATATCGCTCAAAATCGCTCTAAAAAAGGGTCATGTAGGAGCTACAAGCTACCAGCGACGAGCTACAAGCGATATTGAGCGACGAGATGTGAACAGCTCCATGGAAATGGATTGGAGAAGCTACATGGAGTGATATCGCGTGGAAATATGAGCGATATCGCTGCAAAAATCGCTCCATAAATCGCTCAGTGTGAATGGGGCCTTAAACGGCATTCACTGCGGGGAATTTATTAAAACTGGAGCAGACAGAATTTGGAGCAGCTGCCCATGGCTACCAATCAGCTTCTATTTTTCATTTTTAAAGATTAACTGAACAAAGTGAATAGAAAAGCGGATTGGTTGCTGTGGCAACAGCTCCAGATTTTGTCTGCTCCAGTTTTCATGAATCCCCACTGTGTTTTTATTGTATGCATTTACTTAATTTATTAGGTTCAAATCTAAAAAAAACATATAACATTGTTTCCAATCTTTTTTAAGTCAGGTTACTTTGAAATACTTTATGTGAATATATATATTTACAATTCCAAACAGAACATGGAGTTCCAACCTCCTTTTCCATTTTTACGAGGCTGATTTTAGCTGTGTTACTGAGAAAAAGCCTTTTGTTTACTGAGATCATTAGCTCAGGCTGAAACTTAAAGGCATAACTGAAATATATCAGAGGAGTAACTCATCCCTAATCCTGCTCTGTTTAGACATGCCTCATAGTGTTTCACTTACAAAGAGATAGTCTGAGGGCTCTTCCCTGCAGTTTGTCATTGGTGTGTCATAGGTGTTCCTTGTATGAAATATCAATTTGTAAACTAAAGATTTTATATAAATATTTTGAAAAATATAAAACATAAATTTAAAAAAAATATATAAGCGTAAAACAATCTGAAAATTCAAAGTGGTTCATCATGCTCTTGACATTTGTAAAGCGTTCCGTGACATCTGATAAGGGCAAAAATACACTGGTTGATCTTGAACTTCCTGTAGTGAGCCTACAATAAAATCTCAAACATTGTCATCAGCCCTGTCTAAGTTCTCTCTGTGGATTACAGAACTCCTCCACCTGCGTCATGGAGATGAGGAGAGGGAGGTACTCTGTAGTCCTAACACACTTCCTGTTCTAGGGTGACAACTCTACCCCTCCATAGATACAGTACAGTAGTGTAGTGTTCATTTGAATGGGCTACCTATCACACCACAATGGACCTTGTTAGGATGTGTGTTGCTGTGCTATTCAGAATAAAATGCAGGTGTGTTAGGAAGGCGTATTGAGGGGCCATTCAGAATGAAAAGCAGGCATATTCGGTGGTGGGTTGGAGTGCCATTCAGAACAAAATGCAGGCGTGTAAGGAGGTAAATTGGGGGGCCATTCAGAACAATATGTAGGGGTGTTAGGAAGTATGTTGGGGTGCCATTCAGAATGAAAAGCAGGTGTGTAAGGAGGTGCGTTGGGGGGGCCATTCAGAATGAAAAGCAGTTGTGTTATGTGCGTTGGGGGGCCATTCACAAAGAAAAGCAGGTGTGTAAGGAGGTGTGTTGGGGGGCCATTCAGAAAGAAAAGCAGTTGTGTTAGGAGGTGCGTTGGAGAGCCATTCACAATAAAAAGCAGGTGTGTAAGGAGGTGCGTTGGGGGGCCATTCAGAAAGAAAAGCAGTTGTGTTAGGAGGTGCGTTGGAGAGCCATTCACAATAAAAAGCAGGTGTGTAAGGAGGGGCGTTGGGGTGCCATTAAGAAAAAAAAAGGAGGTGTGTAAGGATGCCATTCAGAAAGAAAAGGAGGTGTGTAAGGAGGCGAGTTGGGGTGCCATTCAGAATGACAGTAACAGGTATGTAAGGAGGTGCATTGGGGGTGCCAAAATATCCGCACTACCATTTAACTTCCAGGCATTGTTACAGAGATTTCCCCACACTTCCTGTCTACCTGTTTGGTGTAAAACAGAACAGGAAGTGTTGGTTTTTTAGAACAGTTAGAATCTCTGTCACCAGTAAGATTTCCCATAACTTCCTGTCCTGATAAGGAAAACAAACAGGAAGTGAGGGGCACAGACAGCACTGAAAATGCGGAAAGGTTCTAACTTTTCTCCACTCTATCCAAAGTTTTAAAAAAAAAAAGTTTCAGCAGAAGAAGGAAGGGCTTTATATAACTTTGGTTCTATACTGCATTCACCATGCAGCAGTTACACGAAATACCATCTATTTTAGCAGGAATTATCTTCCTTCCGCTGAGTCATGTAAACAGATGTTACAATATGTCCACTGTGTTATTATAAGAGCGCACACAGCCAAGACAGAGTAACCAGGAACACTTCCAAATTCAAAATAAAATGGGGTTATGGCTGACATGGATTTCACTTTATCTATGCGCTGATCTCAAGAAGTAATACATGCATTTACTATCTCCCCAATGTTCTTATTTCAAACACATTTATCGTTCAAAAAATATTTATATATAAATCTCATACTTAACACGGTTTTGGAGTTGCTGCTTGGTGAGTGATTCAGCGTTGTGACTCATCCCTTTAAAAAAGGAGAAATAAACACCGAAAAATAACCAACGGTTGAGAGTTAAAAGGGAAACAGAAAGCTGTAACTAGTGTTGTCATACATACTACACAACCACAAATGTAGGAAAAGTACTGAGCAGTTCTTTATTGACTACTTCTTTCTATAGGCACGTTCTGATGATCAATGTGAACCCCCCAGGTAACAGACAACTATAACCCAACAGTAATATCTGCATGTAGTTGACAATGTATCTATTGCTGCAGAATCACTTACCTTAGCACTGCCCAGAGCCTCCAGATTCAAAGTGTATGTCAGGGCAGAAAAAAAAATGCATATGGAGTACTTTTCTGCAATACATGCACATTTCCCCATGTTTTATCCCTTTACGGGCCGTGTAAGTAAAGAAAAATGCCTGTCAATCTGCCAGAAATGTACTCAGCATTGAAGCCCTGTTGTGAGCTAACTACACAAAGCATTTTTGTGGATTGAGTGGTATCAGCCCTGCCCAAAGTATTTTGCTAAACAACTTAACCACTCCCACTCTCAGATCTCTACAACATAAAGGCTAAGTATTTTGTAGTCCAAAATAAGAACTAGGAGTACTCTTTGAGATAACACAGGACGTGTGCAGAGGACACAGCACAGCTCTGAGTTTCTACAGGTATTTTTGCATTTATCAAACACATATAGCTAAATGGTTCCACAGTTATGTTTAACAGATAAAAAGAGACAAAATAAGAGAAGTTCCTTGTTAGGGTTTACATAAACGTTTGCTATATAAATAGACACTTTCTAAGAGTCACTATCTGCACAATAGGGACACCTTCTCATCACCATTTGACAATGGCCTAGGCCTGCGGATAGGTAGCTCAGGTACCAGGCACAGTGTAGTGGAAAGGTCTGATCTCCTTTAAACACAATGCAGAAACTGTGGAGGCTCTGTAAGGTGCTGAGGTGAGAATGCAGCAATATGTTATGTGCTGGTTGCTTTTATTGTGAAATAAAAGCTGATGTAACCTTTGTATTTTTTTTTTACATATTGGTTTTCTTTAGTAAAACAGAGCACACTGGATAGTGCAAATAAATACCTTTTGAACCACTTTAGGACTGCCGAATGTGTATATATAACATGTGGTCCTAAAGTGGTTAACACCAAGATCACATGCTTTGCAGCCAGCACCCGGCATTCACATACAAGTAAATGGATGATTTTACAGTATCCCGATTTCTTGTATGGTGCTGAAAGGGGTAATATCACACTCTCCCTCCATCTATCTTGGGCTCCTTTGTCCCTTGTGCGGGCCCCAGCATGATGGGTGTCTGTAGTTACACAAGGGAAATCAGCACACTTCCAGTGGCTGGCCTACCCTCTGGTTTCCTGAACCTGGAAGAGATGAGGATTTTGTCACTTCCGGTTTCAGCTTGTCATTACTTTGGCTGCTGTGGCCGGAGAAGAAACTAGTGAAGCAGGATCTGTTCTTTATGAGCTTCAGTGGGGTCTATAGGCCTCTGATGTCACCATAAAGGGGACCTGTAATTTCCCCTGTGCTACACATAGTGCTTTGTTAGCCTCCTATGAGATAGCATTACAGTTAAAGTGACATTAAACCCTCAGATTTTTTAACATAAAACAATACTGTAATGTGTGCCTTAATGTAATCCATGGTTGTTTCCCTTCCCTTGCTGTTCTTCCTTTTAAATCTGTATCTCTTCTCATGCTGGGCAGAACTTCTGTTTTGCAGCAGACTGCCTTGTCTCTGAAAGGGATACATGGTGTCTGTGTGTTGGTTTGCAACCTGAGCCAGCACTACAGGAAGAGGCACTCAGCTGCAAAGGGAAGTTCTCCTCCAGCATGAGAAGATATGAGGATTTAAAAGGAAGAGCAGCAAAGAGAAGGGAAACTACCATGGATTACAGTAAGGCACACATTACAGTATTGGTTTATTTTAAAAAATCTGAGGGTTTAATGTCACTTTAAGTTTTAAAAAAAAAATTAAAGTGACATCCAAAAAAAAACCCTGCAATAAAAATGTTTAAAGCCGTCCACATATGCACACATACAAATGCAAACAATACTTGTGAAAATGATGACTGCACCACACGTTACATATCGATGCAAACTGAGTGAGATACATAATTCTAGGGCCAGTTAAATCTAAATTGGTGGGCAGTAAACTCATTTTGTTCACTAAAAATAATGATTTGAGAAACAATGTCACACAATATTGCACAAATATTGTGTGACATCAAAAAATTGCAACTGGCATTTTTCTTTATTCTACAGAGCCTTCCTCTGCTTTCAGACAATATATCATTAAATTCCAATTTTAACGTGTGTGCAATAAATAAAAAATAAATATTACTATAGTTCTGAAGTGGTTAATTAATAAAATTCACTTATAAATCACAGACTTAGTTTCTGATGGTCACCCGGAAATGCATCAGTGGAGGTACCCACTTTTTCTGCAAGGCCACCTTTGTCCCCTCAATTGCGAATATTATTTACTGGGCAAACTGGTTTGAAAAGCAACTCACTTCTTATAGTATCTAATTCAACTGTAAGACATCTGCATTCTGCCCCCCGACATCATTGTGTAAGTGCATTTCGTATTAAACTTTATTTATTAAAATTAATATGAATTTGCCCCCCCCCCCAAAAAAAAATCAATACCAGACCCTTATGCTAGACAGGGGACTGTATGGATTTTAAGGCCCCTGCTAAAGCCAGAATGCACCCCGGTTGAAAAAGACTGATCTACACTATCCAGTGCCTTCTGTTTTTATTATCTGCATGTTTGTACAGTTTGTACTATATCAGATTGTAAATGATCCACTGAGCATGTTGCGTGTAAAGATTTTATAGGTGCATTAAAGATTTTATAAGAATGCATCAGGAAGAGAACATCCGTCAGGTAACTAGTCTGCGATATTGCTTTGCAGCGGATGTTGCTACAGAATCACCCAGGATGGATGTCACGACACAAAGCCTAATGTCAAACAAAATGGTTTTTTTTTTTACAATTTTGTAAAAATATTTGTAATCTGTGTCCATCAGGGAGATCCCCCCCCCCCCCCCCCTCTTTTCCCACGAAGAGGCGG